TTGGAGAACGTTGAAAGAGATTTTTTTCACCGAGGAATCAGTGGCGTTTCTGCGTCGAGAAAATGCAACCGGACGGATGCCTGTGCCCGTTGAAGCGTAAGATCGATCTTTTCTTCTGCGACGGAGAGACGCTCGGTGTGAGTAGAAACGACGAAAGTGAACGAAGAGGTAGAAAAGGAGAAGCGAGAAAATTCGAAAATTACATGTAGACGTTTCGAACGAAGGAAGAAGAAGTTGGTGAAAGACAGAAAATACGCACTTTCAGGCTTACTTAGATAAGAAAAATTTAAAAATATCCACGTTGTAAGATCGATCTTTTCTCTTCTTCGACAGAGGGGGAGAGATGTTTGGCGTGAATAGAAACGACGAAAGTGAACGAAGACAGAGTACGTCTTGAAGTAAACGAAGAAAAGGCAGGAAAATTTGATAGACGAAATTGCAAGCAGAACGCTCGGACCAAGGAAGAAGTCCGGTGAGAAAACCAGAAAATGCACGTTCTGCTTTCTTAAGAAGGAAGAAGAAATTAATGAAAAAATACCCAACATTATTTAAACGTTTCTAAAAAAAAAAAAAGTGCAAACAACAAGCAGTTACACGCTTGGGACATTCGTCCGGTAGCGAAACGCCACGCAACAAAAAAGAACGACCAACAAGGAACAAACGCATGATCAACAAGAACAATGTAAACCACTGAAGGATCGTGCTCCCTGTGCGGGAAATTCGAAAAAATTGGGGGAAGGAAAAGGTCTCTGACGCGTCCGAAGAACTCTGAAATCGTGCGATTGCGTCGAAGAAAGAGAAGATCACACGTGAGATCACACGAAGAGAATTACTTGTGCTCTCGATGTGACCGAACACGAATATGTACGAGTGGAAAGGAGTAAAGTGGTGTACGAACGAAACGTTCTGTCGTCAATTTTCATTTAATTTCTCGCGTTAATTAGCTTTCGATTCGTACGACACCTGTTCCCTCGTCCACCGGTGTTTCTCTTCTTTTTTTTTCTCTCTTCGTTCGAGCGACGTTACCCGCTCTTTCTTCTTCTCGTTCGCCTACGAGTGAACGGAACGCGATGGGCGAACGGAAGTGGAAACGGTTCCAACGAGCTCCACGCCACGATTTAACAGGAAAAAAGAACGACGAGGGTACACGAGGCTCGAGAGGAACACAGAGCTGTTCTCGTGCATCTGCGTGCAATTGACCCTTGAATAATTAACATATCTTGCAACGAAAGTGACACAGCGTCGACGTTAACGATTCGTGGATCGACGATGATCGACAGAATTATCGTCGGTTTTCTTGTTAACAAAAGAGACAGAGAGCGGAGGAAATGGTGTGAGACAGAAATGATGCGTAGAAGGAACGAGTGTGAGAAATAGATTAGGAGAGGAGAGATTTTTAGATAAAGAGGAAAAAAATGGCGTAAACGAGAAGTTACATCGATGAACCCTACTATACACTCGATCTATTGCATCGCTTGATTATTGATTTATGTTATTTAAAATTCTTATCGACTATTATACTTTGTAGTTTGTACTTGGTTTTCATTATTCCTGAGAAAAGGACTCTTTCGAATTTCTTTTTTCTTTCATTCTGACCTCTGTTTTAACTATCGTTTTCCATTTCTTTTTTCTTTTCCCCCACTACCTTTCACCCTTTTTTTTTCTTTTTCCTTTCTTTCTCATCGTTATCGTCTTCTTCTTCTTTCAAGCATGTCTCGCGGGACACTATTTATATCGAGACGACGTTCGATTCTATCGCAAAATACGTTTCTAAACTGTGCCTTCATATTTCTCTATGTACAGAGACTTTTATCAAGCTTTCTATTCGTCTTCTTCTCTTTTTTTTTTTTTTCGTTTTTTCTTTTTGTTA